GTAGCTTCCAGCCAAGCTTCCCACAGTCGAGATGGCCATCTCGAGCACAGCTTCGACGCGCTTCCTGAGAGGTTCGTGTGTACAGTGTACAACCTTTTAAGTAACAAAATGAAGTAAATTAATGAGGTAAACGTAGATCCGGGAGGTTCCAAGGTCACGCACCATATCGTCCAAGCTAACCCTAGCCTCCCACTCATCGAGCCGCAGCAGGATAGCAGGCGCGATATCTTCCGATTCCTTGCCCTCGATGAGATCAAGGTCGCCGAAATGGGCTTCCAGGAACATGGCGATCCGCTCGACCCTCAACGCATTATCCAGTTCTTCGGAGTGCGAATGCGGGTGGGAGGGTTCCGCATGGGGATGCGCGTGCGCGTGCTTGTGGGTTGTCACTGTATGAAGTATTAATGAACGAAGCTTTGTCAGGAGACACGGTGTGGGTGTGTTAAGGTTACGAGATCATTGGGAAATTACTTTTGACAGAGGCAGGGCTTTTGTCAATGCCCATGATGATACCCAGGGCGGAGTCCGCCAGCATGTCGTTGCTGGCGCTGGAAACCCACTCGAGCGTGAGCTCGTGCTCTGCCGTATGTTTCACATCCACTGCACCCATAACCTAAAATATAAGAAAACGCATAAAGCCTCGGCTTGCTCAAAAGCGAACACAACAAAATCACGCACCCTCATAGTTTTTATCCCGGTATCATCCCGCCCTTCCTCCACAGACCCGTACATACCTTCCAGATGCCACCGCACGAGGTCCCACCCGACACCCATCTCCACCTTCATCTTTTGAATAACCGTGCTCGTAGTTAATCCGGTAAAATCCCGTAGGTCGCGTGGGTCGAGTAGAGTGTAGGAGTAATCCTTGGAGACCAATAACCCCGAGATGAGATCGCCCACCTTGGGCGGTCGTGCGGCGAGGGTTCCGATTGCCTACAGTAGCCGGGTGGTTAATGAACGTGTTCGAGGTAGAATAAACGTGCGGGTGGCGGGGGAGGAAGGGGGATAACATACCTTTCCGACACGTTCGCTACGGAAACTCAGCTCCAAGACCTCCAAGTTCCGTGGCGTGTGAATTTTAACGTCCTCGTCCATGTCCTTGTACTTGGACTGCAGCGCCGCGCGGAGTCGCCCCATTGCTGTTTGTTCTCCATGCACGAGGACCTATTCATTGCATAGTGCGCATTATACGCGTATTTCTCGAGTTTAAGATAGTGTTGCGCGAGATGGTTACTAACGACATGCTGAGCCTTGACCATCTCAATAAACTCTGAATTTTGCGTATAATCCACGTGGGCGCTAAAGGAGATATAGTCGACGGAGCATCGTAGGGGAATCGGAGCGCCGCCCTTCGAGTTGGGTATTTCGTCCGGCTCATTTACAATATCCTATAGTTTTAAGTATGCGATATGAGTTTCAAGCGCGATCATGAAAAAGGAGTAACGGCACGTACCCGGGCCAACGTTCCTTCGACTGAGTAGCCTGTAATGATCAGTCCGTTCCTCGGATCGGGCGCCCAGAGCTCAAGGAGCTCTCTGCTCGTGCCATTATGCAAGAACGCAGGACTCGCGAGGACAACGCAAGGTGGGCCGTCGGAGATCTTCCTCTCCCAGTTACGAGACTGAGGCAGATGCGAGATATGTCTATCGAATCGTGACACACGTGTTGGTGGCATTGCTCTCGGGAGAATAGTTAGAAACAAAGATGTGACATACTTGAAGACAAATGGGTTATCTCTCCTCGCGAACCGATCGCGGATATTAGAGTTCATTGTGTGGATATAGGTTTGGTAGACGTTCATGCATTTCCTAGCCAAGCTGGACGAAAAGTAGATTGGGACATTATGCAATTCCGGGTGCTTAGCCCAGTATTCGTCAAGGACCAAGAGTAGCTCTTGAGCTCGCCCCAGAGCGAACACAGGTAGAAGGGCGTGTCCCCCTCGCTTGATAATCGAGTGGATGAGCGAGGTCAGCCGGGCCTCTTTGTCTACGCGACCCTCCAAACTTTGGACACCATATGTGCTTTCTACAATGAGCACGTCCGGGCGGACGGGTGGGACTTCCGCCTTTACAAGATGTCTGTCCTCTTCCCGGCTATAGTCGCCAGTATAGAGGATTTTGAGTCCAGCGATGTCGATCATGAACATGCAAGCCCCAAGTACATGACCAGCATGATAGGGGGTAAAAGAAAGACCTGGACACGGCGTGATTTGTTGGTGCGTGGATATCGGTATGATGTTTGGGAGCGAAAGCGAAAGTTCCAGAGGCGTGAACAAAGGTTCATTCGATGACGTGCTGGTGTACGATTGAATGAGGATAAAGGGCGGTTAAACCTGAGTAGGGAGACCTACCTCGTGCGAACAAAGTCTTGCATCATGAATTTAAAGACAGCTTTAGTTGGGTGCGTCATGTATACTTTTCCTTTGCCATCCTTGAAGTTGGTCTAAGGAGGGCTATTCGTCAGACAGTGGCTCGGGAAAAATACCTCATAGCATACCTTCTCCATAATGTATGTAAGAGATGCTGCATGGTCAAGATGGAAGCTAGCAATAAAATTAGTACGAGACACCAAGTCTGTTCAATGGTACTCACTGAGTGATTAAGAGTGCGTCGACCGTACTCCAATCCAACTCGTCAACAAAAGGTAGCGACGCCATGCCACTGTGTGCAGGATGGACACCAGCATCGCAAACGACAGTTTTTCCTCGATATTGCAGCACGCAACACGATCGACCGACTTCTTGCCCAGCTCCGAGCAGAGTGATGCTAAGAATGGGCGAGTCGGTGGCGGCAGAAGGCATCCTTTATCTTTATCTTCTTGCGTGCGTATGTTTTTTTTTCTGACGGAGATTCACACCCAAGCAGCTCGGGAAGAGGTGGTGTATATTGCAAGAGTCGACTAGAGAACAGCGCAAGGACCGGCGCACACAGACAAGGTCGGTGTTGTGGTGTGCTTATCTGTGTGTGCACTACCCTTGTATCGCTCCTGCTTACGTACTTACCACCACCTTATGCTTACCACTCCGATGGCGGACATTCCGACTGTCTCGACTTTTTTTGACCGTCCGAGGTCGCCATTGCCCGCATATATCCCCAGCAACGATGCACAAAAAGACGCCCAGCCTGTGCGCTTTTTCCACCCGGGGCATCATACCAATGTCCCTATCCTCGTTCCATATGCCCAAGATCGCGCCACCGCAGATGGCACCTTCGGCGTCTATCGCGACGTCGCCCTTCAAGCCTGCCGCATCCTTGCATTAAACAAGCCCGGCTTTCTCTCAACCTCCCGCGATCCATGAGCTCCCAAGTTTGAAGAACGACATCTCACTGGGTCTAAATACTACTTTCATTTGGATGAAGGCGGATCTCTGTACCCGTTATGTTTCAGCTTCGCTAAATGGCCGTTCCCTCATAACAATTTGCCTGGATCCTGGCAAATGCTTACCCCGGCTCCAGTGTCACCAGACAAAATTACGGCTAGTGACTGGTCTAGTGTCAGTTACGCAGTCAAGAAAAGAGACGGCTCCCGCTGCCGTATCACGAATTGGAGCGTGGGGTTTGCTACAGCCCACCTCATACCACAGGCATCGAAATACTATTCTGTGTCCCTCTTTTCCATGACTAACCGCCGGCTATATCAGATGCTCAATAACGAAATGTTTCTCTATCAACGGACTGAGACGCGTGTGACTCACTTGGACTCAGGAAATCTCCTCGCGATGCAGCATACTCTTCGTTTTCTTTTCGATGCTTCCTATTTTGCTATCGTCCCCAAAGATAATGGGATGGTGGTCTATTTCTTGAGACAACCAGACGAGGCCTCCGCATTATATCACAACCAAAAAGTTGGACGGATGGATCTCACTGTGCAGTACTTGTACGCACGCTTCGCCTGGACGGTCTTCAAGCTTGCCTGCGAAGCTGTTCCTGCGGATGTCCAAGCTTTGTTTGAGGGTGACGGCCACGATGGCGAAAGGGATAATGGCAGGGAGGAAATTGGTAATGACGACGATGAAGGAGGTAGCGACAATGATGGTAGCAGCGGCGGAGGCGGCGGAGGCGAGTCGCGCATCATCAAACGAGCAGGAGACGACATCTCTTGCACTCTGAAGAAGATACGAAAGGTATCAGGCGAACACACTGCTGTTGACTGCGAGCATTATGGGTACGAAGAAAAGGACTTAGCCCTCGCGCGCAAACGCTTCCCATTCTTTTGTGCGTGTCTACTCTCAAGCTTCCCGTTTTCATTTTCTTCTCTCACGCTCTGGCATCTACTATGCTATCACATGTTGGTTCTACTCCGTGCATTAAAGTGCCCGAGGGAGGTGAAGCCACCCCATGGCAGTACAACGAGCTCAAGTGGTATCCTGGAAAACACCACGCAGACCAACTCAGGGAGGCCTACCTTGAGTCACACCCAAATATTCGAGCTTGTAGCGATTTTGGGACTCGTGTGGTTCCCGATGGTGATGCACTGGAACCGACTGGCTCGGGTGTACTGTCCGAAGACGAGGACGAAGACGCTGGTGGGCAGAGGCGCCCTCAGTAGGTTTCATATTCAACTCACTCACAGCCTGACTCAACAGCGTTAACGTTGTCTACAGCCCCTGGCCGAATGCTCGCTGCTGACCATGAGATGAAATAATTTCCATGTATACTGGACGTGCTGTTCAATACCTACCTTCGTCTCAACCCACGCAGCGAACCGAAACCTATAACGTGTAGAACACCTCAAGGCGAACTCACAGCTCATGGTTTATCCATGTGCAAGATATCCACAGCAATTGTCGTCCTTACGCGTCTACATGGAGGGATACGATGAACCTCATCCGGGAGCACCCCATGACCACGCCCCTCCAGTTCCTCAATAAACTAGTCCAGCTCGGCGGTTCTTCACCTTCTCCCTCTGCTTTTGGCGTCTTTTAAATATGCGTGGGGGGCTGCCACTCCATGGACGGAATCTACGCCGTTGAAGACGCACGCTTGATACTCCGTTTCATCGCCCTGATAGCTCAGTTGGTAGAGCGTTGCACTAGTACTTATATATGCAAAGGTCGCTAGTTCAAATCTGGCTTGGGGCATATATTTTCTCTCCCACTTGTTGGGAGAGTGTTTTTTATGGACCCAGGGGCGATGTAAGTACAAGGTGTCTACCATATGCGCTTTGTCATAGTAAACCGAGTCAAGTCTTCTAGTCTTGCAGCCTTTTTGTTGCCACCCCCTGCAGCCTTTTCACCGCCCTCGGTCTTGATTCCCTTCGGCTGAGGCTGATTTTCGCCCATTTCTGCGGTGGGAGGAACGTTGTCTCGTGCTTGATTTAATAAGTCTTTGAGATGACGGTTGTAGTCCTGACGAAACGAAAGTAGTAAGTATTAGCCTGAGCCTCCTGCCAAGGATTAGTAGGAAACCCACCTGCTCGTCTTTGCCTTCGCCAATAGGCGGCCTGCCATAGAAGTGAAGTCTGTCGTCTTCGCGCTCCCTTTCATCCATGAACGCTGTCCTGCGACTAGCGTAGCTCAGCAAGTTGACTCCGATAATGAGTTTTACTACAACCAAGCTGCGTGCGTCGTGAGGAATAGTGTCAAGGACCATGGGTGCACGAAAAGCTCACCACAACCACGCAAGGATCCCAAGGACAATCCACTTCGCGTGCTTCATGATGTACGGGAGCTGGTTCGTCGTTGCTATCAACATCAGTGAGGGGGGTGTCGACGTCATATGCGTCGAAATGAGGAGCGAGGCGGATTGGTATAGAATTAAGAGCGCTAGCACGGCCATTGGCAATGAAGCGAATCCTAACCGCCGAGAGACGAGAGGCGATTGGTCGACATATGTGTGCTAGTGGAAAAGTAATGTCAGCGACGGCACCAGCGTCGATGGGCAAAATGAACTACAAACCTTTCTAACACGATCGCGCTTCCCGACCCAACTACCTTGAGAGGTGCTCAAATCTCGACACAGTACATCGGTGTATCTCTCGTAGACGGAACCTCGGATATGATTGAATTTGGTTATAAATGCGTGTTTGAGCCAATCCACCCCCATTTCTGACAGTAGAACCGTCAGAACTGGCTGTATAAAGGACCAGTGAGATTGATTTTAAGATAAGAGCATTCTTCAAATTTCTCATGCACGTACCGAGAATATTTTCCAGACCAGGTTCCCACTCTTCACAAACTGAAAGGCTCGAGGGAGGACAACCCGGTCTAAATCGACCTCGGTCGTGCTCAGCTCGATCAAATTGCGAAGGGCAATGCAAAAGAGCATCAGGGTAAGCTGAAAACGCTCAACAATGTCTAGGTGGTTTCAGATCAAGATAATGGAGGTGCCCAACCCAACGGAGAACACACCTGCACAAGTTATTTGGAACAAGTTATCTTTTTCAAACTTCTTGAACACTGAGCCCTTGATTTCGACAAATTGATTTGAGAGCAAGAGCGTGAGTAAGGAGTGGTCGTATGCATTGATTGCAACGTTCAGAGACATAAGCTCATAGACCAGGATCAGACTGTGAGAAACTAAAGCAACGAAGGATACGGAACCGTTGGCAGGTTGTATTGGATGTGATCGGAAGCGCTCGCACCAGTATAGAGCAAGCCAAGGAAGAAATAAAAGAATGGTCGAATTGTGTGTGATGTCGGAGAGACGTGGTGAGACAGAAGGAGCAACGATGAGCGCGAGAACAAGCAGTCAATGATATCTTGACCGATTGAGGTGAATAGTCTATCTGCAATCTGACACGAAGGTGCTGAGCATTGAGTGGCGTGAAATAGTAGAAGACTCGCCAAACCTCAAGTGCATTGAAAATGACGTATAGCTTGATTGTATCTTGACCCCGGATGGAGTGGTAGATTTTGCTCGCGTCCGTCAATGGGATCAAAATGGCCATAGATATCACTAGCAGAAGCATTCGCAGGATGTCTGCCTTTTGGGAAGGTGGGAGCGAAGGTCTATCCTCGATTAGGGGAAGTTTACAGCGGGCCAATAGAACTTACATACCTTGACCATGAGAAGGTATTGAGTGTGAGTCGGAAGATGGCGAGGACGAAACGAATTGGCAGTATCGTAAACGTGTGCAAGAATGAATCGAAGCACAGTATGAATCCAAAGGATATTATCTGAAAAGATGAATAATAAGTGATATCCTCTATGTTTTAACTCAGAGATCCTTACCTTCTCGACAGCAACCGGAACACTCAGGAAATTCCCGACGCGTTCCCACTTGAGCTCTTGATGGGAGTCAAAGTCCGTTGCCAGCAGTTCTTCTCGTAGATATTCCCACAAGGAGAACGGAGGGGTATATTTATCTTCCTCTCGGGTTTCATCGGTGAAGGTTGGGGTAGATGATCGAATAGGTGAGGACGGAAGCGACTTGTAAACCTTTGGTATGTCCTGAGGTGACGAGGTTGGGGAAATTGGCTCCTCCTTGATACGAATGGGCAGGTTCTGACTCTCCACTCGCAGCCTTGGCGGCTCTGCCTCTTCTTTAACCTTCACGACCTCATGAATACTAATGCGGCGGTCTTCGGGCAAGTCCTCTGAGTCGGATGGTGAGCTGAAGTTGGTGCGGGTCCGATTTCGAGATGGTCTCAGTTCTTTCAGGTTACGTTTCCCATATATCGCGGACGTGGAAAATCTACGGTTTTTGGAGACCTAATAGGGAAACTGTTGGCCTAGGGTGATACATTGAGTGAAAGCAAGGCTGGCGCACCGGACGCTCCATGTGCTTGACGAGTACGGAAAATTAGTGACCGGTGGAGACGTGGAGAGCGGAGCCAAAGTGCCTTCCGAAGCCAATAGCTTCCCACCTCCACTCCACCACCTCGCTTCTGGGATTCATCCTCAACTCCAGGACCAAAACTCGGAAAATGGGCGGAGGGATCCATCTAAGGGAACATGTGCTACTGGTTGCCATTCTCCCGTATTGGGAAATTGGACACCCGCAAAGCAACCTTGATGTACATACTTACCTGAAAACCAAGGGAACATGGCGACCCGACAACCCGACGACCCGACGTCGCGTATTACCGTAGACCCCCATTCTCTCGCCGTCTGATACACCGCGCGCCGCCCCTTCCCTTTCCCGTCGGGAAATCCCGCCCATCCATGCGACGACCCGTCTCTGGTTGCTACTGCTGCAGTCGACTGACTAGCATCACCAACTTGATAGCGAATGAATTGTACACCACGCTTTAAATGCTGAGAAGCGAAAGCCGAGTTCTCATACTCCCAAGATGCCTCACATATATTCTCTCAACATTCCAGTCCGCAAGTTTTCTGGTGCAACCCAATCACCTTATGACCCTGCGTTCGTGGCCTGCTTAACCGTGTCCAGTTTAAAACCGGCAATTGAAAGCTTTTTCTCCTTCAGTGAAAACATGTCTCCAGGGAGCTGGAAATGCCAGTATGTCGGGTGCCACCAGACCTTTAGCCGGGCTACCGCGCGCCGTCGACATCACGCCGAGAAGCAGTGAGTTTTAATTTACTCTCGACCCTTGAAGCCTACAGGTACCCATTGGTCCGACTTTTTCAGCTCTGGGGCTCAGACATCGCCCGCAACTGGGCCGATGAAGGATCTGAGTCCAGAAGGAGGCTCACACAAGAAGGTTGTACACTGGAGCGACGCTGCGCCAGAAGTCTACTACTTTTCATCACCAGGGGAAGCGCCAGAATCTCCCCCGTCTTCAGATAATGAAGACGTTATAATGTTTACTTCAGAGGATCTGTTGGATGCTGGCTTCTAGGCCACTTCACTCTTTTACCTTGTGTATCGTCAATATCTTGTATCCTATTTATTTTCCCCTCCCGTCATTGACATCTACGCACAGGCTGGATTTTTTCCACTCACCAATCTCGAGACTGCGGGTCTTGTTGAATCAAGGCAACGCAATACTATTTGGCATCCTCAACTTGAGTAAATACAGGAAAGGCAAAGGAAGGGACCACGAAGGGACAAGGGAGGAAACAAGAGGCATGCCTGTCGGAAAAAGTGTAGAAATGTACCATTTTACTGATGTAAGGTAGGGAAAAGCGGGACAAAGCGGCGCATCTAGCGACGATAGCAGGGTCACTATACAGTATACAGGTGAGCCCACGGTAAAATAATCCAAAACGCTGAGAAACAGGTAGATGAAACGTTCGAGGAAAGGCGTAAGATGGGCGTAAAAATCTGAGAACGTTATAAGAGTATTGGAAAATTATTCAATATTCGTTAAAAGGTCGTCATTCAAGCCGTTGCCTCCCATCCAGACTTGGTGGCAGTAACAGACAGTCGTCCCATCTCCTTCCTCTGTCTCAAGGATTTGACTTCGTTATTGATGAGCTCTCGCAGGCGGACGAGATCCGTGCTGCGTTCTGCTCTAGATCCCATGATGAGATTACGCCAGATGGCGACGGCCGCGACGGAGTTGTCTGAAAGTGGCTGGTGCGGGCGATGGAACCTGACCATCTTCTGAACCAGATGATCGGGATGCGGATACATAGCATGAGGCCATGCGGCACGGATAGCAAACCACCATCCGAGAGGCTATATCACGAGAGGGATTAATCGGCAAATTCAACAAGGGAAATGACATGGAGAAGCACGTACACGGCCATCGGGAGCCGCTCGCTCAGGATGAGTATCGTAGGTCGTCAAAGTACCCTCTGGGAGTGAGAACCTGGAAGCCAAGAAAAGCCAATGAGGAAAACGCGTGCCCCAGTGGAGAAAAGAAAACGAAAGCGCACCTATGCACAACATAGTGGTTCGAATCCCGCCGGTGTTTTGCAAGGACAATCAACAACCTCGGCATTCCATCCAATCCAAATGGCGTCCACATGTCCCTTAACATCTGACACGCGTCTCCGTGTCTCCCGTTGAAGACTGCATTGCTGATCGCGTCCGCAATATTAGGCGGAACAAACAACCTATCCACTCTCGCGGGAGGGTTATCCGTATGGCGAGACCGGACATAACGCTTGTATACCTGCGTGAGGTAGATGCTCAGCGCGACCTCGTCGATCTGATTTCCCGGAGCCGTGCTAGCCAGCCCATTGTCGAACTCGGATAAGGGCCAGATCATCGCCCAGCCGAGGAGTTTCT